CTGGAGCCCGCACCACCGCCGTCCGCGGGCGCCACCGCGGCCATGCTTGCGCCGCCTAGCCCGCCGTCGTCGCAAGCCCGCTTGGAAGTGCTTGCGGAAGGCACCGCGGTGCCCGTCGAACCCTGCTGCCGGTAGGCCCCGCCATCCGGGCAGTCGCACGCGGCCAGCAGCTGCTTGAGGTGGTAGTTCTCCACTTGCACGCCGTGCAGCTTGGCGTGCATTGCGTCCACTTCTTGTCGGAGCGCGCTGAACTCGGAGACCACCCGCGCTTTGAAGTCGGAGAACTGCTCCAGCACGTCCTTCATCGCAGACCGGCACGTCGACGTCTTGAGTGCCAGGCCCACTTGTTCTTCTGCGCTTGTCCAGGCCTTGTCGTTCTTGAACTGCGGCCCGGTCGTGTTTGGCCTGAAGCCTACGCCCGGTGCCGGCGCCGCCCGTCCTAATCCGTTGCCGCCCTTGGGGCCGTCCGTCTGCTGGCCCGCCACTGCGTTGCCGTCGGCGAAGGGGAGGCCGATGGGGATGCCACCGGTGAGGGTGTTTGCGCTGCCGCCTTCCGGTTGCGGTTGCGGCTGCGGCTGCGGCGAGAATGTGCGCTGGGGGTCGAGGGGTTGCGGCCTACTGCTGTTGCAGGGGTGCGAGGGTGACGTCGTGGCTGCGTTCCTGTGCACCTTGCGGATGCTCCAGTCGTCTTCTGTCTTGTGCTGCCTCTTTCCCAGAATCGCCCCAGGGAGTGTGAACGACACGCTCTGGTCCTTTTTCACCACCACCTCCTTCGAGCGGGCATCGGCTACCTGGCAGGCCACGAATGCAATCGTGTCCAAGTTGCATGTCGGCTTGGACCCCTGCGGTGCGTGCCCGGGGCTGATCCGAAGCCGGCATTGGATAGAGCCCTCCTTTGAAGAATTTTCGCTCCCCCGCTTGTTGTGTTGACCTTTGGAGAGGCTGCCGCCAGGGAAGCTGGGGTCCAGCTCTTGCTTGGGGACGGGCGTTAGTCCGGTGCTGGGTCCGGCCGTGGCTGCGTTACACTCTTTCGGAATTGCCACACCCGAGCGACATGCGAGGTCGGCTCGGGGTGTGGTGTCCAGCCCTTCCCTTCCGGCCATCTCCATCACGGTAGCAACGCGTGACGCTTTATCACACGCCCCTGCTGCTGATGCGGCGCAGACTTCCTTCTTTCCGTTCATTGCTTGCGTCGTCATCATGCTTCCGTTTTCATTGAGCGCCACTGATGTCGGCGACGTCTTGGTCTTGGGCATTTGCGCTTCAGAGCAATGCATGGTTTTTGTTTTGCGAGTGGATGATGCAAAAACAAAAACTTGAGACTAAGGGTGCGGCGAGATGGGCTCGTGGAAGGCAAGCTTGATGGAAAAGGCGAAGGAAGTCCGAAAGGGAAAGAAAAAGTGCGAGAGCAAAAAGTGTACGAGCAAGAAGATCCGAGTGGAACAAGAGTGCAGACTGCGGATTTGAGTTGTTGTTGTTTGTTTGCTCAAGCTAGTACGAGGAGGGTTGTATCGCGGGGAGATATCTTTTTATACTTGCAAAAAGGGGTCTTGTCTTAGTTTGTGAGTTTCAGTAGTGTTGGTTTCAGTAGTGGTGGTTGTCAGAGGAAAGTTGCAATCGACCTACAGCCGGTTACTGGGGCAGGTGAAAAAGTCGTTCAATGCTGAAAGAAAGATATATTGCGTGCCTCTCTTTCATCACTCGTTCAGAACCCCTCTCCGGCATGTTAAACAACAAGCAGAGTGAAGTTGACCGGCGTTATGACATTCGACCTTTTGCAATACATTCGAGTTGTGAAGCTGTTGAGAAAATATGCTCTTGTTATAATTTTGGGCCTTGTAAACGGTAGTGGTCGTGCTATCAACCGCTCTCCTCGGTTTGTTTGTAAAAAGAGGGTTGGGGATCGTGGCATGCATTGGAAAATATAATGCAATACATCAATTGCCTATGCTGGCTGCGAGTTTTTTTGTTTTTTGGTTGTTGTCAAATGCCTTCGATTTGGAGAACTGACACAATCGAAAAAACACTCAGTGAGCAGTCACTCCCCTACATGAGAGGCGTTTCTAAAACAAGAATTTGATTCGGATGTCGTCGATTTAGATTTGGACTTGTATCTTTCGCCCTTGTTTATAGTCTCAGTCCCTGGTGCAATCTCAACTGCCTTATGAGAAGTTTTGAGAATGACTCAGCACAGCTACCGACAGCATTTCACGGCAATGGTTCTTTCCTTTAAAAACCATTCCAGGCAGAGAGGAAGGAGAGGACGAGAGGGCATCATAAAAGTGAGAGGAATTAAGGCTTCTAGTGTAGTGGGTGGGATGTACACCACAAAACTGTACTTGCAATGAAATGCAAGGACTTCTCATTCTAATGAAACCAAATTCCAACTCTCATTGTCTTTCAGACCAGTGAAACACTAAATATGTAATCATAAAAACAAAAATAAATACCCTTCTTTCTAAAGATGGACCAACTCACATGATAGCAAGTTGTTGCAAACGGATCTACTACACATGTGGTCTATACTACATGCTTTCTCTCCAACTGGATTTCTTGGGCTTGTGAGATGTATGAACGAGCTTTAGAGCAAAGTATCCGAGCGTTCTGACGACAATGATGTAGGCCACCAAGACGGCTATAGAGCCGCCGATAGATAGGGAGTCTGTGAGCTGCGCGCCTTTCAGAAGGGCATCTTTGTTGATTGGACAGAATTCGCCGTTGTTCGAATAAACAGAGCTAGCCTCGCCTGCTTCGGCGCATTTAAACTCTCTCCCCCCCAGCATTTCAATACGGATCATCGCTTCATATGAATACTATGGGGTTGAGACGAACGGTTTTAAGAAATGGAATAATCGTTGAAGACACCAGACAACATCCAAGATCGGACAAAAAGAATTGTTCCAAAAAAAAAAAAAAAATTTAGAGGGGCTTTGATAGTAAACAATGAGGGAGTTAGGTCGAGCAGTAAACAAATATAATTGAATACAACGTACCTTGATAAAGCTGAGGACACGGAACGGAAGAACGAAGGGAGGAACGTTGTCAGGGTCAATGTAGTAGCCAGCAGTGAGCATGGATGTTAGAACCCAAATCGAGCCAACGATTTGAGCGTGCCGCACGTCCATGACGACGGCAGAGATGAAAAGGCCGACGCTTTGAGCGGTGAGGACGTTGAGGACGAGTACAATCGTAAACAGCAAAAAAGACAAAAAAAACGGATTGAGACCGACGATGAAGTATGTCGCAGCAGCGAAGAACAGCGGGTAGACAGTATCAGCCGGAGTTTCAATCTGCGTTCACCGGAACAAACGGGAAGGGGAAAGCAAAAAAAAAAAAAAAAAAAAGCAGTTCAAGAAGAAAATCGATTACCAACAAAACACGGACAGAACAGAAGTGTTAGAGGGCTTTCCACATTGCAAGATGACGCATCCCACTGGAAAAACCAAAACCCCCCAAAAAAAGGATGTGACAAAAAACAGGGACAACGTTCTCCGTGTGTCTCCCGGACACAAATACGTACCATCGTCTTCGCAAAGTAGTAGGCGCTGAGTCGGTAACTGCCGCCAGCCCTATCCTTATTCAAGATCTGTTTCTCCGCGGGGAAGGCAAACAGGGCGTTGAAGGTGCTGTAAAACGCCCAGAAGATGGGCATGAATGAGAGGACGCCGAGGCGGTCCTCAATGGTACCCTCCCTCGCGTCGATCCGAAACCAACACATGGAAACAATGAAGGCGACCAAGACGAGTTGTGCGATGTAAATGGGCTCGAGCAGGACGCCACGCTTCTGGCGCAGCGCGCGCTGCCCGAGCACGAAGACCTGTGAGAACCAGTTGGTGGGGTACTTGTCGGGCTCTCCGCCGCGCCCGCGGCGGCCGGTGATGTCGAGCAGGCGCTTGCGGGCCGCGCGCACGATGCGGGCCGGGGTGGTGGTTGGCGGCGCCAGCTGCAGGTGCGGGGCGGCGGAAGGCGGCTTGGGCGGTGTATCGTCGGACTCCGGGTCTGTGGTGCAGTGCCCTTCGACCGAGGGGCGAGAGGTGTCTGTGTCGGTCGGGGACGAGGAGTGCGGCGGGAGGGGGGGCTCCTCCAACGGGACGGAGACCTGCGGGAGGTTTCCGGGTGGCGCGTGCTCATCGTCGGACCGGGCTTGCATGTCGATAAGGTGGCGGTCGGCCATGCGCTGCGGGCCGTCGGTCTCCCACGCGGTGAGGATGCGCTGCTGCACAGACGGGATGTCCGGTTGGCACGGGTCTGTGCGGTCGTCGATGACGAGCTCGAGTATGTAATCTGCGGGGTTGTAGGCATGGGTCGGGAAGGGAAAGCCGATGCCTTGAAAATACTCGACAACTTTGGCAGGTGGTCCAAAGTAGGCGACGCGGCCTGCGGCAAGTAGGAGGATGTGGTCAAACAGGGCGAACATCTGGGACGAGGGCTGGTGTATGGTGGCGATGACGGTGCGTCCCTCTTCGCAGAGCTGGCGCAGGAGGTTGATAACGGTGTAGGCGGACGAGGAGTCCAAGCCGGAGGTACACTCGTCGGCGAGCAGAAGGCTGGGGCTGTGCAGCAGCTCGTTTGCGATGTTGACGCGCTTGCGCTCGCCGCCGCTGATGCCCTTGTCGAACTGCTGGTCGCCGATGCGTGTGTGCTGGCACTTTGTGAGGCGGAGGCTGTGCATGACGTCATCGACGGCAGCGCGCTTGTCGTGTTTGGAGACGGTGTCCGGGAGGCGGATGTCGGCGGTGAACTGGAGGGTCTCGCGGACGGTGAGCTTTGAGAAGAAGACGTCGTCCTGCATGACGTATCCGATGTGGCGCTTGGTGCGCGGGACGCGGCGGCGGCCGGCGAAGCGGACAGTGCCGGCCTCCAGCGGGTGCTCGGTGCGGGCGGCGAGGACGTTGAGCAGCGAGGTCTTGCCCGAGCCCGACGGCCCCAGGATGGCCAGCGACTCGCCCGCGCGGACGTAGGCAGACACGCCGCGCAGGATGGGCGTGGGCGGCGTGCGCTTGCGCGACAGCGGCTTCACGGTGCTGGGGATGGAGTAGGTGACGTTGGTGAAGCGCACGTCGACTGGCGGCGGACGGGCGGACATGGTGGGGGAGGGCGGGAGGGATTTAATTAAGGGAGGGAAGACGGGGAGGGGAGGGAAGACGGGGAGGGGAGGGAAGACGGGGAGGGAAGTGGGAGGGGGGTTGCGATGGCAGATGGGTCAGTGTTGGAGCGATTAGGGGAGGAAAGGCGGGGAGGGGAGGAAGACGGGGAGGGGAAATGGGGGACTGCGATGGCGGATGGGTCGCAGGTTGAGGGTGGGGGAGGCGGGGGTGTACATATATATAGGGGGACATGGAGGGCATGGCGGGCATGGCGGTTACACAGGGGCAGTGGAAGTGAAAGCGGGGCACGGTGGAAGTGAGAGCGGGGGTTGCGGTTGAGCGGGTCTTGGGTGGGGAGGGAGTCGAAGACGAACTGAAGGTGCGCAAGGTACGCGTGGTGTCGGCGGCATGGTCTGCGGACGGCAGGTCTCACGTCATTGCGGGCGGTTTAGGGGTCCTGCGGTCACGCGGGGTCGGACACGTTGGCGGTCGGCGGCTCTGGCGCGCGGCGTCACGCGCACACGGCGACCGTCCGGTTGCGCGCTTGGGGCGCGGCACCCGCCCGCGCATTGCGCGCGCACCAGAGCCCGCACGCCTCGACTTGTGCTCGCCGCCCGCCACACGTACTCGCGCGCGCGCGAGATCGCGCTCCACACCTTCCATGGACGCAATTTCAGCATGCAGTACCAATGAGAAGGGTGCTGTATCCCCCCTTGCGATTTTGGCAAATGGTTTAACCGTTACATCACGCTGCGCATCGCGTAATCATGAAAAAGTTTATTTACAGCCGCAGAGAGCCGCAGAGAGCCGCACGCCGTGTCGCTTTATTTATCCACCTTTCATCTTTCAACCCCCCCCCCGCATCACACACGCATCACACAGCACTGCACTTCCAGCGCACACCCGCGCACACCCGCGCACACCCGATATATCGCGTATGATAAAAAACTTTATTTACGACCAGGCGAGAACCCGCGCACACCCACGCACACCCGCCATCACCCGCCATCACGAGTGCCGCGCAATGCCGCTTTCCTACCCCGGTACACCGCCGTGCCCACCATGCAGTATACAGTACCAAGGGTACAGTATACTGTACAGTGCTTCCGCCTTAGAGCATAGCACCTCCACCGGCGCCACCGGCGAGGGTCTATGGGATGTAATGTATTTGTCCAAAATGCCAGGTGGAGAATTACAACTGGCTCCCAGTCAAAAATTAGGCCGCACTCGGCCGCGGGTCTATGCTATTGATAGATGGAGCTAAACAGGGACGGACCCCTCTCCACCAGTGACGGTCTAATGGTCTATCTTCTGCTCTCGCACCCCTGCCCCCTCACCTCCCTCCGTAATTCCCCAGCCCCAGCCCCTCCCTCTAACTGCATGTCTCGTATTTCCACAGAAGGACCATGAACTTCAACTTAGACGAACTCGTGCATGACAGTGACGATGACATTGGAGGACGGCAATGGGCAGTTTGGGTAGCACATAAAAGTCGCGGGAACCGTATGACTGGAAATAACTCATAGGCAAGGGGAAGGGGATGGGGGCGGCGGTGCCGAAGAAGGCCGGGCGAGAAATGCCAAGATTTGTGCTTCACGTATGCAACGTGGCGAATAGATCGGGTCTATCGCCGGGTCTATTTCGGGGTCTGAATAGATCCTGCGATAGACGCACGGTATTTTTAGGTAGGGATAAGATAGACCCAGTTTTTTGTTGAACGAGTGGAGACGAAATTGTCTAATGCGTCTAAAATTCATGGGCCATAGATCAGTAGACCCAAAAAACACCAACCGGTGGAGATGCTCTAAAAAAGTCTAGTTGGTGCTGTACAGGTGAAAGTGCATATCAAGTCTCTCATGGTTTCTTATCGGAGCGCAAAGTACAGTAGTATGAACGGATCAAAGATACAGAATTGCAATGTTGAACAGGTCTATAGTCTGGGATTATTATTATTAGAGCAAGTCTAGCAGCTGGGTATAATATCCCTAGTTGAAAATGCTGTGTTCACTCTACTATAGACCACGATTTAGAAACTATCGTGAGCAGCCCCAGCAGTTTCGGTGTTAGCAGCTACAGTACCGCCAAGGGTACTGTGACTGTATCTCGTGCTCCTGCTCGTACCCTTCGAAGGGTACCCAACTCTGCCCAATAAACAAAACCCAATACTGTACACCATGTTTCTGAGACGAATGAAGGTGGTAGAAGCCACTCCGTCACGGCTAGGATACACTACAACATGGAGGGGCCCCCCGATCTCCTTCCATACTCCTAGGTTTGTGCGACGATGCCTTGGAGAGCAAGGGGTATTCAGAGAGTTTTCAGCATTCATGATAATTTAAGGAAGTGCAACAACTTGGCGGGAAGTCGGGAAGTAGAGCTGTGAATACACCTGACGCTCTCATTGGCTGAACAACAGAAATTATACACCAAAACGTGCAGATTTGGCCCATGACAAAAGTTTAGCCCAATACAGTACCAAAGGGTATTGCGAGTTACACCACTGCTACCCTTCGAAGGGTAGACTTTGCTCTTACTACTGTACACTACCCGCCTCCGTCCACCACCAGTCCCCTTCGTACACGTGCCCCGCACCTCCCCTACACGCCCTACACGCCCTCCGTCCTCGGCGCCCCCCTGCATCTCCGCGCCCGCCAACCCCTG